AGAAAGAAAGAAAGAACAAAAGAAAGAAAGAAAGAAAGAAAGAAGAAAGAAAGAAAGAAGAAAGAAAAGAAGAAAGGAAGGAAGGAGCTGGAGACATAGCTCAGTAAGTAAAGTACTTGCTATGCAATCATGTGGACCTCAGTTTGAGCCTCAGCACCCACAAAAAAGCATGGTGGCCTGTGCTTGTAATACTAACACTAAAGGGGTATAGATAGGTTGATCTTTGGGACATGAGTGCCAGTCAACCTACTTAATTAGTGAGCCCCAGGTCTCAGTGCAAGATCCTGTCTCTGCTCTCAAAAGCCAAGTGGACAGCTCCTGAGGAATTACATGCAATGTTGACCTCTGGCCTCCACATGCCCCACCCCAAGGTACGGAGGAGGAGGAGGAGGAGGAGGAGGAGGAGGAGGGGGAGGAGGAGAGGAAGAAGAAGAGGAAGAAGAGAGAAAAGAAAAAGGAAGGAGAGACTAAAGAAGTGGCCTTTAGGAAGTAGTGTCATAGGGTCATCAAATGTATTAAAGACATGATGTTAAAAGAAGGCCTGAAATTCTTTTACTGGAGTGACAGTGAAACAAAATATGGCTCTGATTTTAATGGGGTGATACGAAGAGGCCTACCAAAGGGCTTTCAAAGTGGCAGTGGTGGTGGGAGAAAGGGCATAGGAAAATGCCATGGTTCTTCTTTCCTTACGCAGGGTGCAGCACATGGTTTCTACAAAACTATCTGTGAAACAGAAAGCTTTTAAGTTTCAAGATATATTTTTCTTTCCTAAGATGCTAAACTATTTTAAAGGAGAAGGGGAGGGGGGATTTAGTCCAGGAAGGAATGGTAGAGACTGGCTCAAACCTGGATTTGGATAGAAAATGAGACCAACAGAGAGAGAGAGAGAGAGAGAGAGAGAGAGAGAGAGAGAGAGAGAGAGAGAGAGAGAGAGGCCTTTGATGTCTTGACGATCAAGGACTATGGCTTAAGGACCAGACTCTTAAATCATGTGGCATTTACTGGCTGAGATACAAAATACTTTTTCTGGATCATTGTGTGTACTTCAAAATGGCAAGTTTCCAAAATCAGTCTTAACTTTCCAAGGACAGTGTTTGGAGGGCTTCCTGTAAGAATGGAGGGGAGCCATTTCTAGAAGGGACAGCATAATGATTTTCTAACCCCCAACCCCCCAAACATTAAATGGTGTTCCTTTCCCAGAGCCCAAGTTCATGCTGAGGGCATCCGGAATTAAGCAAAGAGGCTGAACCTGCAGCTAAGTTTAGAGAGCTGCCAAAGGCCTAATTTTAGGCCCTCACTGTCCCAGCTGATGGCCTGGCCACTGGCTCAGCCAGGAGGCCCGCAAGTGTGGCCGTGAGCCGGTGCAGGAGTGGGGAGAGCCGTTCCCTGGCCATCTGCAAAAGCAATTAGTTTGCCGATGGGTATGTTTTGAGAGGAACTACCGATAATTTCTCCTTCAGCAAATGTTTCTTCAGGTGTTCAATAGCCAAGGAGGGAAAATATCAGAGCTTGGCAGACATTCCCACAGGCTTACCCATTCTCATTATCACGCTTTTCTGTTGAACAGTGATCTCCAAATGGGAACTAACCCTGGAATTCCTCGGTTTTCATGGCAAATAACCCTTGATCAATTTCTTCTGGCTCTAAACTTACTGCCACGATTTAGAGAAAGTGTCGTTGGAGACTTGGCTTGATGAAAATTGGCATAGATGGATGAGAGCCATTATTTCACTTGTGGGGAATTTCTACACCAGGCTTCCGCCGGATTTAGGCTGTGCTTTGCTCACCATATATTTTCCACTTACAGGTTTCATGCTTTAATTGTCTTCTTCAGAGGGCAGACAATAAGAGCTGGCATCTTCCAGATCAAAGGGCAAACAGAATATATTTTAAAGTGACAACTCTGTTATCCTGTGACCAGAATAATAAACTGATGTAAATATAAGCTCCTCAACGATTCTGTACTGAAATGCTACCAGGGAGCAAAATCTCTTACCTAATTACAGTGGGAGACGCTTCTCACACATCACTCATGAGAACTCGTCTTATTTGTGCACAGTTATCAAGCCCGGGTCGGCCCACCTCAGTGATGGAGATTTTCCATTCCTGCAGGTTGGGAGCTGGGCTTACCCACTGGGGTTCTCTGTCTTCAAAGCAGGTTGTTAACAAAGGCTCTTTGCCAGGGGCAATGAAAATTGGGCTGGCAGTGCCAGGCCTAGGGAATGCAGCCCTTAGTGGATGATGTGCCCTTGAAGGAGGTCACTGTTGTGAAGGGGCACACACTGGTCCCTGAGTGGCTTCCCTCCCTTTTCCTCTATTTTTCTCCTCAATTTTCCTGATAGCTTTGCTCTTTCTGTCTGCTTGCCTCACATCCTAATGTTGATCTGTCTGTGAATATTTCTACACCCACCCCAAGCACACATGCACACGCACATGCGTGCACGCACATACACACACAATCACATCCCCCCTTCCTCTGTCTCTTGGCGTTGGCCCTTTCATCTTCTCCCTCAGGGATTCGAGATGTCGCTGCAGGAAGTGCTTGTCCGCCAAGGCAGCAGCAGCAGAGCCCTGTGGCTTTGACAAACCTCATTTAATTGGGAGGAAGCCAGGAGAATTTGAAAGAACTGAAACATCCACGGACCTCCTTTTATCAGGCATAATTTAAACTCTGCATGGAAAAACCCCTATATGTATAAAGAAAAGTCAACTTTCCTCCTGCTGTGAGCGTTCCTCATCTCCCCCCAGCACAGGCAGGCTCCTGCAAGATTCCATCTTTTCATTTTTCTAAAAGTGTCAAAGTAGATTTGGGCTCAGTGGTGAGGTGAACAGAGAAGGAATACAGATTGCTCTTTCTCTCTTACTAGTGTGCATGCAAAAACAGACACAGAAACACAGACACAGACACAGACACAGACACAGACACAGACACACACACACACACACACACATACACACACACACACATACCAAAACTCTTTAGATGGTGTGTGTACCAGAGTCTATCTGTTAGTAGCTTTGCTTCAGATGATCCAGGAAGACTCAAACCCAAGTTCCTAACAACACATCAGTTTTGATGGTTATTACAGCTTCTTAATTAAAAAGCTGATGTCCAGAAAACTTTGAAGATCTCTAGCAGTTCTCAGCATGCAGAATAATAGACTCTGGAGGAGGCTAATGGGGGAAGGTTCTTTAAATAGACAGATGCAAATAGGTTTGTGTGCAACAAAACATGTACATGTATGGGATGTTTGGCATCCCAAACCCAGAGAACAAAGCTAAGAAGGAAGATCTTGGGCACAGGTAGGAAGGTGAAGACTAGGAAGGGAGAGGAGGTGGAAGGAAGGAATGAGTGAGTGAGAATTGTCTGCTGTGAAGCCTTTCATGTCACCCGTGTGCCCAAGCCAGTTCCTCATCTCCTTCCAAACTCCTCTTTGGATTCCTCTATCTCGCTTGAATTATCCTCATTTCTCCAAAGAATTGTCCTCAGCACAAGCAGTCTTCCGACATCTGCAGTTGATTACGCACAGATTTTAGCTGCTTCGATATGATTTGTGTTGATATATGCACGAGGGTGCCGTTTCCTCTTTTTCACCTTCTTTTCCTCCCTCTCCCTGAGATCCCCAAAGCCAAGGACAAGTTTCTCGTTTTCCTCCACTTTTTACAGCACTTCGTATGTTCTTGACACTTAATGGCAACTTAATAAATTCTAATATCTGACTCTCCTTACAGGGTTAAGTAAGACATTAACCTTTGTGTGATGATGGCTATTTTTAGAGATCTTTTTTAGTTTTTTTGGTGTTTTTGAGACAGGGTCTCCCTGTAGCCCCAGCTGGCCTGGAACTCACTATATAGACCAGGCTGGTCTTGAACTCACAGAGAGATCTGCCTGCCTCTGCCTCCCGGGTCCTGGGAGTAGAGGTGTGCGCCACCACACCTGGCTATTTTTAGAGATCTTAAGTGACTCACTTTCAAAATAAAACGCTTCAATAAGTCTCAAAGAGATTTGGACTGTTTCAGGACAATGTTTGGAACCCGGAGAAGCTGTGTTTACAAACCCTGGTGCTTTGGGCCAGGCTGTGACTATGCCTCTTGGGCAGTAGCTCTGTACCTCAGTGTACCCCACACTGCCTCCCACTTCACTCCCACCCCACTCCCCTCTTCTCAGGCTGAGCCCTAGGCCTTCCTGCTTAGCTTTCTTTTTTCTGGCTTAGGATTTGAAAAAAACTATTTGTTGTTGTTGTTGTTGTTGTTGAATGGTGGATATTTTCAAAGAAACCTCACCTAAGGATACGCTCTCTTGCCCACCCTCAACAGCCCAGACCCTGACCGCACAGCCCACACCCTTGGTGAAGCTCTTCCTGGCGGGGTTCGTAGAAACATGAGGAGAGTTTCTGCCATGTGACCCCTCAGCGGATTTTCAGTTTTGGAGGATGACTTCAGGCCCAGGCAGCAAAGACTGGTTTCAGGGTAATCTGTGTTTGCAGTGGGCAGCCAGCCTGAAAGGAGGCTTCCCTTCCCCCAGTGCCCCACCTCCAAGCTTCCTTCTGCAGCATCCTGTTACCAATCAAGAAAGGCCCAGCTCTCCTTCCTGACATATCCATGTCACCTATCATCTTACTTTCCATGGAAGAGAGAAGGGGCTTGTTAGAAACCTTGGTTTTGCTTCTCCTGGCAGATGATAGCTAAAGCAAACAACTCAGAGGCAACTTTCATCTCTGCCAATTTCTAAGTGTACGCTTGGGTGTGGGAAAGGTTTGCATCATTACAAGAAGGCCCTTGTCACCTCTCCCCATGAGCACCTCGGAACTTTAGAGACTTGTGCAAAGCTCAGGTAAGACTGGATCTCAACTTGCTTCCTGAAGACAAATTAATCTCTGACTTCACTTTTGGGGGCAAATTCTATGATTCTCCAGTGTTGAAGGAAAATACTTGAGACACTGAGACTTAATTCACACACACACACACACACGAACAAACACCCACACAAATCCACTCACCATCAGGAAGCTGGTACAGTTGGGATGGGAGGACACTAAAATAATCATGAACCAGGGCTTCCTGGGCTGAGACACGGTCCCTAGGGAAGCCTTTTAGCATCTGGGAGGCCAAGTCTTCTGCTTCAGGAACCCCACCCAGCCTGGAAAAGTGGAAGAAAGAAAGTAAGTTTCTCCAGAGGTCACTGTTTTGAAAGATAAAGAGGAAAAACAAAAGGTAAAGAAAAGGAGATGGCTAGGAGGAACATAACGTCTCAAATAGAACTTTCCTGGGCTCAGCAAAATGGGTGGCAAGGGAAAAACAAAGAACAAAAAACTGCTACCTAAACTTATACCTGTCTATTACTAAGATGAAGGGAGAAGATGTCAGCCTCTGTCATGTAGCTCCCTGCCTTCCTCATGTCACTGGGTACCATGTGCACATAAAGGACATAGAATTGTAATTATAGAAGCAGAAACATATTATCAAGTTTTCTTCTTGGAAGGACACACAAGCCCAGCCAAGCAGAAAGGCCTGTTTGGCACTATGTTCCGGACTCTGGATGCCCAAAGCAGCAAACATGGTGTTCTGGGGGTGGGAGGGAAGCTTCGGTAGAAATCCCATTATTAACAGTGTCCCTGAAGCTCAGCTCCAGGTTATTAGCTAAGAAAAAGTCTTGGTTCCTCTTGAGCTGAAGCTGAGCAGAGCAAGTTAAGCACCCAAATAGCAGAAAGGATTTTCTCAAGTTCTCAAGTCAACTTTATGTTGATTTAGATATTTAGAGATGAACAAATGCATGTACTAAGCAACTATTATGCGCTATCAAGTGGTTGGCTCTGGGAGGTATGAGGCAAAACTGACTCTTGGCACCCTAGTCTAGTATAGTTTGAGCACTCACCAAATTATCATACAAATGCATGGATTCATCTGTGTATAAAAAGGCTCTCCTCGAGCCAGGCGTGGTGGCACATGCCTTTAATCCCAGCACTTGGGAGGCAGAGGCAGGCAGATCTCTGTGAGTTTGAGGCCAGCCTGGTCTACATAGTGAGTTCCAGGACAGCTGGGGCTACAGGGAGACCTTGTCTCAAAAAGAAACCCCCCGCATAAAAAACAAACAAAAAACAAAACCGGCTCTCCTCTGGTTGGAAGGTTTGTGTTTTTAAAAACTATTCAGATATTGAAATTTAACAAGGTGGGGGTGTTAGACGATGTGGCCTTTGGGGGTGTGTGTAATTAGGCTATGGGGAAGAGGCCTTCATGATGGGGTCAATATTTTCATCAAAGGAGCTTGAGGGAACCCCTTTGCTCCTTCTACCATATGAAGACATACCAAGAAGTTACCATTTAAGAAGCACAGAGCCCTCACCTGACATCAAATCTGCTGGTGCCTTCATTTTAGATTTCTTAGCCTCCAGAACTATGAACAATAAATTTCTTGCTGATGATAACCTACCAAAAGTATATTGCCATAACAGACTGAATTATGTAGTCTAAAATAGTTTTGTTCTAAGAGCCCTGATCCCTGACCTAGATAAAGCAGGAGGAGGTCAGGGCTTATGTCTGACATTCCACCTTAAGCTGAATGGCCATGAATGAACCAATCAAACCAAACCTGGAGGGGCCTGCTTAATGTCAAAGCCACACACCAACACATAGAGGAAGCATGCAGCAAGCAGAAGCCCATCTCCTCTTGGGCATGCCACGGTGCAGGGATGGTGTAGGTCCTGCCCTCCAGTTGTAATTTGTCTAATTTTTGCATGAGATTTGCATAAGAAACTTTTGGCTATCTGATTCCCACGATATGAAACTATTTCTGCAAACAGGTTATTACTCCCTAACTCTAATTGTTTCATAGACAAGATAAAGAAGAAATTTGGAAATCCTAGGGTGGGGGCCTGCTCACTTGCTGTGGCCTGAAGGAGGACTGGCAGGTCTATTCTTTATCCAACATGTCCTGTCTAGATTTCGTGATTACATAAAACAGTATCTACTGACCCATCATTCAACACATGCAACATAAGGTTGTTCTCAGAGAAATGAGACAACAGTTTTAATTGCTTAGCATACCCTGGCACTGAGGGTTAAAAAATCTCCTCCCCACATTTTACCACTGACCTTCACAGTGAGGATGAAGCTGCTCACCATGAGCTCACCTGAGTACTTTGCTTTTCCCTGCATCCATAGAAAGAGAAAAGGGTAGGGATAGAGTGGCCACTTTTCTAATGCTCTAGCTTAGGACATGATAGACACTCACAATCAGAAACACTAGAAGCACTAGGAAGAAACAACATTAGAAAAGCTACCCTCAAATTTGCGTATCAGTCTAAAAAGTGAGTGTATACTCATAAACCCTGCCTTAAAAAGATCAGCATTAAACCCCAAGCAAAGCCCTGGGTCCTTTTCTAGGGTGCGCAATTATACTGCACCTCTGTAGGAATCACATAGAAAAGCTACCAGTACCTCTTTGTTTTTGAGACAGGGTCTTTCTATAGCCCCAACTCACCTGGCGCTTGCTACATAGATCAAGCTGTCTCTACCTCACAGAGATCTGCCTGCCTCTGCCTCCTGAGTGCTAAGATTAAAGGCGTGCACCATCATGCCCAGCACCTCAGCTATTCTTGACTTACACTTACCACTTACAACCTGAGTCCACTAACGATCTTGTATACCAGGTGAATTCTGGGCCTTCACCTACCTAGCTGGCTGACTCTAACCAGATTACCTAGTTTGAGCCTTAGTTCCTTCCTGTTTAACATGGGAATGCCACTTGTAAAAATGAATGTAATAATTTATGCAACTCCCTGCCAAGCACATTGTGGGTACATATCCTACCTAATGGCTTCTGCAGAGCCAAGAATTTTCTCACATGCTAATCTAGGCCAACTCTGTCCAACAGAACTTTCCCAAAAGTATGGAAATATGTTATTTCTCCTCTGTCCAATATGGTAAATATTGCCCATATGTGGCTGTTGAGCTCTGGGAATACAGATAGTACAACTGAACAATTGAGCTTTGAATTTAATTTAGAAATGTTTAAACTGAAATGCTTTTCGTGACTGATGGCTACTGTGTGAGCCCAGCTCCAGGTACTCCTTGCTCAAGGATCTGAGCAGAGAAACAGAGGGGTCTGAGCAAAGGCCAAGAGCAAAAGAATCGGGCAGAGGCAGTAAGTGATGTATAGTGAGGAAAGCCAGGTGATACTGAGAGAATTCAAGTCCTGTTCAGCCCTAAAAGAAAGGGATGGGTGGGAGGAAGAGGGACAGCAGGAAGCTGGTGGCAGAATTCTGACAGTGGTGACAGCAGCTGCATAAGAGTATTAAGGTGCTTTGTGGTTTGGAGTTTTAAAAAAGCCAAGAGTGAAATGAAAGAAAGCTTCAGGGCCGTATGGAAATTCAAATATCTCTAGCTAAGGGTTAGGGAGCCGTACTACGCTGGCAAGAGAAAGTTTGAGCATCTTGAAGGACCGATCAACAGCAGTTTCCTGGAGCATGCTTCCAAGATAATGGGCGGGGGTTCAGGTTATGTGGGGCTTTTGAAAATAAGAGTGGAGTATGTGGACATCTTGGGGAGCCCCATCTTTCCTAATAAAAGATCCCCTAGATGTCTGTGATTCTCTGCTTATTCTTTGTGCCCTGGTTTTCACCCTAGATAGTGGCTTTTAAAAACACGTGAACAGTATGTATGGAGCAATCAAACCACATTTGGTTAGATTAAACCACTCCCCACATTCAGAGACCGATGTTCAAATGTTCAGTTAGGATCTTGGCTGATCAAACTCTCTCCTTCTCCTCACCTGCGAGACTGTTTTCCTTTGACATCTGAGCTCATTTCTCCTGTCTCTGAGGTTTTCCTCACTGACCCTTTTGCCTCCTCACTGAAGCAAAAAGAACAGAGCTTCCACTAATTACTCTCAGATCAAATAATGCTGGTTATTGTAATTGGTCATTGTCCGAAAACACTGAGTTCTTCCCCTGGAGGCTGCCTGGCTCAGCATAGTTAGCTAGCTATTCCCGGAATGTCTCTATTATCTGTTTTACTTTGCAAAAGAAACTAGGGATTTGTTGAAAGCTGGTAATAAAAGTCTGCCCTGGTCTGAGCTGAGACCACATTGAGAGGGCCTGGGAAAGCATGACCTCCATGAATCAAGTTCCCCCTCCAATGGCCACTCAATGATGTTATTTGGTTTCTCTGTGTCAGAGAATAATAAACCCACTAGGTTTTCTTGCAGGCCAACACTCCCACTCTCAGGGCCTGGGGCATGACTGAGGGGCACAAAGCAATTTTAATGACCAAACTCAATGAAAATAAAATGGTTCATAGAGAAAAACTAACACCCTTGGTGGGGGGGGCTGCTCTCCCACAGGCATCTTTCTGGGGTTCCAATGGAGGTTCTGGGGGCTGTTGCTCAGTGTACTGAGGTTTGGGAAATTGTCTCTTCTCCCTGCCTAAAGTAAAGAGAACTTCCTAAAGTGGTGCTTACCTGTTCCAGAAAATCTGATGGCTTTGAGGCTTAGGCAATGGGAACCATTCTGGAAAGCACACAGAGACACATTAAACAACAAAAAACAACCCTCAATCCGTTGCCAAAAATATTATTAAAATTACAAATGTTCTTTTTGGCGTGGGGTAAGAGAGGATTTAAGAATCAGGCACGCTAACTGCTGATTCTTAAACCCTGTTCTCTGTATTTTTATGATTCAGTGAGATCATTATTATGGATGAATTTCTTGTACCCCAAATTCCCATGTTGAGGCCTAACTTCAGGTACCATACAATATGGAGATAGTCATGTCAAATATAATTAGTTAATGTGACATACTCATTAAGGTGGGTTCTAATACAATTTGAAGGACTGGAGAGGTAGCTTAGCAGTTAAGAACACTTGCTGCTTTTTGAGAGGACCCAGGTTTGAATTGGCAGCTAACAACCATCCTAACTCCAGTTCCAGGGGATCCAATGCCCTCTTCTGACCTCCATGGGCATTGCATGACATGGGTGCACTTACACACATGTAGGCATAACACTCATACACATAAAATAAAAATAATTTTTAAAGAAGTGACCTAATATAATTTGACTGATAGATTCATAAAAAGGGAAAATGTGGGTAAAGAGATATGTAATAGAAAAGATAACATGAAGAAATACAGAAGACAGACATCTATAAGCTAAGGAAGGACACCTGGCCTTACAGTCCTAAGAAAGTGCCAACCCTTTCAAACCCCATCCTCTTGAACTAGGAGACAATGCACTTTAGTTATTTGAGCTTCTTAGTTTGTGGTATTTTGCTATGACAGCCCTAGTCAACTAATACAGGTAAAATATTCAGTTGAGTCAACCAAAATTTATATAACACATACTGTGTGCAGAATGCATGCCGGGTGCTGGAAGGATACAAACAACATAAAAGAAACCTGACCCTCACTGAGCTTACTGTTCATTTGGGAGGATACAAGTATACACACAAAGCCATGTGACAAGCTGGGCATGGTGGCTCATCCCTGTAATCCCAGCAATATAGAGGATAAAGCAGGAGTACTGCCATGAGTTTGAGGCCAATCTGCCAGCCCAGCCTGAGCTAGAGGGTGAAATGTCTCAAATAAGCAAACAAATAAATGAACCAAAGCAAAGACAAAAAAACCCTACTATTACCACTACCACAACAAAAAAAGCATGTGACAAAATCTCAAAAAACTCAAAACTGGTAAAAAGTAAGGGGTGCTATTTTATATGCCACTTGTAGCAATTTCTGGGAACTGGAGAGATAGCTCAGGGGTTAAGGACACTGGTGGTTCTTGCAGAAGATGTGGGTTTGAATCCCAGCACCCACATGGCAGCTAACAACTGTCCATAACTCCAGTTCCAGGGATCCAATGCCCTCTTCTGTCCTCCGTGGGCATTGCCTGACACAGGTGTGCTTACATACATGCAGGCAATTCACACATACTCATAAAATAAAAATAAATAAAATAAAATAAAGTGATTTCTGGCTTAATAAGAAATCAAGTCCCTGGGTCTGCATGACCAGCAGGCCTCTCTCTGACCCACAGGCCTCTCTCTGAGACCAACCCAGTTCCTCAGTGCTGTCCCCAGGAGCCCTTGGGGCCTCGTCCTGCCCCATCTCTCTTTGCATCTCTGGGTGGCATGGCTACCAGCTGCCCTAGACCAGCATCTTTCCTGGGCCCTGCTCCCAGGCCAGTTCAACCCCCAAATTCCTGAGGCCAAAATCTTTCCTGGAGGGATCTAGACCTTAGAAGAAAGCCTGAGAACATCTGATCCTCATCTGACTTGGGCCTCTGAACTCCTGAAGACAAAAGCAATCTGGCCACTCCAATATAAATTCAAAAGAGAGAACCAGAAGCTTAGAGGAACCAGCTTTTCATGCCCAAAAAGTAAACCACAAAGACACATAAAGTTCACAAACAGAAGCAGACTTAAACTTGAAGGCCTGAGTCGCACACAAGAATCAGAAAGTACAAAAGAAATTCACATGTCAAAATCACAGAGAAAAAATAATAGCATGAAAAACCAAAATAACATATCCCCACCAAATACCAATAATCCTCTAGAGGAGTACAATGAGAACCCCCTAGATATAATGCAGGATAGGAACTCAAAAGAACAGTTATAAACATGATAAAAGAATTTAGTGAATTTAAAGAACACACAAACAAAGAAATCAAAGAACTGAAAGAAGATAGGGATAAACTTCTGAATGAATTCAGAAAAGAGCTAGAAATATTAAAGAATACTCAGGCTGAAATGAAGAAGGAAGTAAAACACTCAGTAAGCCAATTAGAAATAATAGGAGAAAGCCTCACCAATAGGATGAATGAAACAGAAAACAGA